GGTTAGAAGTGGTAAGAGACTCAGTGTCAAGGTTCGCAGATGGAGGTAGAAGATGATCATCGGAGGGATTGAAACGATCCTTATAAGAAACTAAATCATCAACATTGAAAGTAGAATGATAACCAAGATGTGGTGGAAGATCAAGAACATATGCGTTTGGGCCAACTTGCTTTAAAATTTTAAAAGGACCGGCACTACGAGCTTGCAATTTGGAAAAGAAGAAGAAAGTAGGGGAAGAAGCCGGAAGAAGAAACAGGAAAGGCGAGAAGATGTTGTAGCCGCCAATCTTAATTTCATTCAATCATTAACTGATCCAACTACAATGAAAAATCTAATAAATAGTAAAAACATAACATACAAGTGAAGGGCTTGGGTCAACCCCCTACTACAAGCCCAATAATAGAAAAGAAAAATAATAAAGTCAAATAACAATAAAAAAATAAATCTCGATAATATCCGCATCAGTTTCAATAGAAATGCAAGGAAGAAAAACCTCATGAAGACCAAGAGTTTCACGAATAGAATGACAATCCACTTTAATATGTTTGGTACATTTATAAAAAATGGATTAATAGCAATTTGAATAGCACTCTTATTATCAGTGTAAAGAGGAGTAAAAGAAATTTGCGAAACACCAATTTCTCCGAACAAGCCTCGAAGCCAAATGATTTCAGAACAAGCAAACGATATGGCTCGATATTTAGACTCAGTGGAAGACGTTGAGACAAGGGTCTGTTTCTTACTTTTCCAAGAAATAAGTACACCACCAAGAAAAATACACCAACCGGTAGAACGGCGAATATCAACACAACCAGTCTAATCTGCATCACTAGATCCCACCAATTTTACATGTAATAGGTTCCTCAAGGACGTTGCTATATCTCCATAAAACGTTTATATCACTCGTTTTGACCTCTAGAAATTAACCCAATATATCATAAAAGGTACAAGAAAAAAGTATAATTAGATGAGAGCTAGTTCTATTTGATATTCAAAACATTGACATCTTCATTAGAAAACTTCTCCAATGCTTATTCTAGAAGTTCCGTCTTATGATTCTCTTCCTTTCTTTTATAGGGCTGCTATGATTGTAAAATTAATTACTTATCATAGTGCCTTGGAAGCTCTCAATCACAAAGTATGTGCTTCAAGTTTTTTCAAATGTTTGATTAAATAGGTACAAGATATGTGGACCAAAATAAGAGACATAATCTAGTAACTCTTTTGCGACTTCCTAAACTATGTCTGATACATTTTCAGAATGTAAAACTTCGAAAACTTAAAATAGAAATGTTGTAACAAATTAGTCGCCAAACCAAAATTAAAATTACGAGATATCCAAAGTAGGCTTTGCTTTACAGCAAGCTTGTTCAAAAAGCCTAGAAACATTTTGTGGAGGCAATATTATATGATATCCATGTGGCTTATCTAGCAGTTTAAACTTTTAAATCAAGTGATTCAACAAATATCTTCTCAAGAAAAAAGGAACAATTAGCATCAAAGGAAGAAGGACAAATTGTATATGCACCTTGATTGCAAACAGATCCCCTGTAGTTCTCTTCTTTGCCAAGAAAACCCGGCCAAATGCCCCACGACTAATTGGCTTTATAATCTCAAAGTCATCTATTGAGGTCCGGTCTTTGGTGGGATGTACCGGGCTAGTTCGCAAGCTGCGTACAACATCATCTTCTAAAGGAGCATCTTCGTCAATTACAGTGCTTGTGATGTCAACCTTGTTGTCGACGACTAATTCACACAGTTGTAAATATTTTTCTCTAGAATTAAATTCATTAAACAAGAGTCAAATTTCTGTAAACATGTATGTCTAAAAATTATAAGAAATGTCAAGGCAAATCATCAAGACACGAGACCAGTGTAAATACCGAATGAAGAGGTCAATTAGACAGTAATTCACCTGATCAATTTTTCTATTCGTGCTCCAAAAGTTTCCACTGTGAGCGCATCAAATTTTCTGCGGTCGGTAACAACTTTCAAGTCTTCAAGGCAAGAAAGCAGATACGACAAAGAGTTATCATGATCCAGGGGGGTACTAGCTACACACCGGGCAATATCAGCAAGTTCATTCATCTGCATGTCAAAATGGAGAATTAAATTTTCACAAGGAGCTGAAGAAATCCAAAATTAATCTCACAATTTCAAGAATATATTGATTCTATACAATTGCCTACCGCTTAGTTCCACTACACAGCTTAGTATTTTATCTCTCAAGAATCTTTAGAATTCATATTTGTTTATGCACAAAACATCTAATTCATCCTCCATGAAAGCGTCAAATGTTGAGCTCTGGCTCTAGTTCAATTAGGAGTTTGTTTCATAGGATCACATTGTCTCCCAAGGATAGTGTGAACAAGAAATACAATGAGTTGCTAATGCTCTAAAACTTTGCAATATGAAACACAGATGCATATCAAAAAGAGGACATCAAAAGCTGGAAACTTTTATGAAGCGTTGTAGCCATCAAATTAAAAAATATGTGGTACCTCAAAATTTCTGGGGCAAAATAATATTGGCCACCTTACCTTTTTGTAAATGTGTGATGTACTAACTTTTCATATTTAAGTAGAGCTCACAGAATCTGAGCAAATCCAGAACCACACCGCCTTAATGGGTAATCTGATATTAGGTATCTAGATTGTCTGATTGGACATGATAAACCAATTCCAGCACTGTATTTCAGCTATTTAACGTGTGATGAGTGGATGGGAAGCTTAACCATTACCCAAAGAAATTTGTTCAGATTACAAATGAAAAATTTGTATGATAATTTGATGTATTTGTTGACCATTGCAGTAAGACACGGATCTCATTTGAATAGGAAAAGCTCACTCAATCTGAATACATACCACAGCCACATGCAATCACAAATCATTTCCAATAACACCCAATGCACAAAATCATATGTAACTATGTACATAACAAGAGAAGAAATAAGGAAACAAAAAAAGAAAGAAAGAAACCCACAAAACTGAAAGATAGGATACCATAAAATTGAATGATCTTGTAAGGGTAGAGTTTTCTTTTATAATATCTCTCCTCTAGTATGGGAAAGAAAAGAATAAAGTTAAGATTTAGATAGAAGTTAAATAGCGTTTGATTTAAATTATGTAAGTTTAGATTATATTAATTTAAATATTTTGATAAGATTTAGGCCCTGTTTGGTAAATCAAAGTCAACAAGTAATTTTAACCACATATTTCATGGACCGTAATTTTTCAACCACACATTTCCTCAACTTTTATCACAATCTACTAAAAATTTAATTTTAATCTCCATCAAACAAAGTCTGAGTGTGGAGACTATGACGGAAACATGTCCTTTAGGGGGGGGGGGGGGGGGGGAGGGCTTAATTTTATTAGAAATTATTTTAACTTCTTTTTTCTTTCTAGTTCCCCCAAATTCTTCGCCATACCCTCTATTTCTCTTTTCTTCCCCATTTCTCATTCTGTACTACATTCCACTCAGACAGTCCTTATACTTCATTATACAGATACGTATATCTCAGCAGACTGGACGCAGAAGAAAGTAGTATCAAGTGATCATTTATGAATTTTCTAGAGCATCAAACTCTTTTTACATTTTTTAGTTTATTGTGATTTTACTTTGATTTTGTTGGTATTTAAATTTATAGTAGATATATTTAGTTTATTTTAGATTTATTGCCAGTAAGATATAAATATATATTGAATTAATGGCATAAAAGTAGACACTAGACGGCAAAAAAATATAAGCGAAGCCGGCAGTTTAAAATCGGACCAAACCGTTAGGTTTCATTTTGAGTTTTTTTCAAACCGGTTAAAACGGTTTGGTTTAGGTTTGAGTTTTTCTCAAACCGGTTGAAACGGTTTGGTTTGAAAATTTGTCAAAAATCGGTAAAACTGGACCGCTTACACCCCTACCCTTTATCACTACTTTTGACAAAAGAAAAACTCTCGATAAATGACAAATGGAGGACACAGATGAAAAAGGAATCTCCAAATTCATCTTTAAAAGGATACCTACTCAAAGGAAGAGGGGAGGAGAAATTTTTAGAGAAAAAATTTCTTTCTTATTTCATACAAACTTGATGAACTCGTTTCGAGGCTAAACCATCAAAGACAATAGATCCATACTGGATCTAAAACACTTGTGATTAAATAAAGTTTAAGAGAGTTTTTGCTCTTAAACCTTCTTTGAATAAAATTTCATCATGTTTTCATACTTCTACTCTGTATAATATTAAACTAATATACAAATACGTATATCTCAGCAAACTAGACGCAGAAGAAAGTAATATCAAGTGATCATTTATGAATTTCTCTAGAGCATCAAACTCTTTTTACACCAAAGTTGACTTACTGGTTCAAAACAAATACATAAAGAAATGCTTAGATCTTCTTGAACATAAAAATTTCAAAGCTAGCAGAACTGTACAGTAAATAACAAGGCCAACAGGTTAAGTAGAAATCAATTAAGCAAAGAGATGTATACCAGTTCAACACATACAACAACTGTAACAAATTTAAGAATTGTATGTGGTGCATTAATATGGCACATGCTCTAAGTTACCAACAAGCTGATGAAGATGATAGCGAACTCAGCAGACTGATATACCTGAGGAAGATCACCATGCTCAGAGTAAGCACCTTTCGCTGACAAAAGCAAGTCTATCTGGCTCATCTGCGGCGTCATCAATGGTGACCTAGGAGTCACGCTGCCTGCTGATGATGTTGTCATTCCTTGATCAGACTTTGGACCAAAGCGAGTTTTACATGACATGGAAGGTAAACCCTTCATATCTTCCATGAAGACAGAATTATCTGCTTCGGGAAAACAATCTAGCATGTCTTCTGAGCCTCTGTGAGACCAGTCACTGAGTTTTGGAGAAAGATCGGATTCTTCGGTCATACTCGAATTTGATACTTTGGCACCACCTGGACTCCCAACATGTTGGAAGTCCTTCGAATGCGACTCCATCAGCTTCTCAAGAGTTTCAGCTATTCTAACTAGGCGCTCATTGACACTCAGACCCTTCTTATCACATCGATCGGCAATTGCACAAATTCTAGAGTGGTCTTCCACGTGCAAAGTGGGTACCTCCTCCTCACAAATGCGACAAATTATTGAACTTTCATCAAAAACACTTGGTTGATCACCCCAGTTTCCTGATGAGACTTTACGTTGGTGCTTGGAGGGCATTGAAGGCTGTGTATGAAAATCTTTTGCAGGAGACTCAAAAACTTTAGCAGTAGTGAGATCAGCATCATGGAATCCTCTTGTGTTACTTAATATTTTTGAAGCTTCCACGATATTATCATTCTGTTCCTCCTTAACTGAAGCCACGATATTATCATTCCATTCCTCCTTAACTGAAGCAACAATATCATCTTTGGGTACCTTTCCAGTAGGAGATGGAAATTTCTTCCACGAAGCCATCCGATTCCTACTGATAGAAGGATCCAAGCTCTTTGTGGTTTCAACAGGTGAAGATTGCAAATTTTCATGTACAGCATGGTCTCTCTTCCACTCCGAGCCATGTTGCTCTTGACTATAAAATTTCCTTGGGGGAGGAATGTGGGAGGATTTTGCATCAGTAGAAATCTTCCCATCCTTCCCCGTTTTAATAGAAACACGCTTTTCTGAAGGCTGAAGTGATTGCCGGAGCTGAAAAACAGGTTCGTCTTCAGCCAACCCACTTTCCTTGTGAAACTGCAACAATCTTGTGCACCTAGTGAGTATAAAAAGCATTCGAGTATGAAGCTTCTTTAGCATGCCCATAGGAAGTTCCTGACGCCTATCATCCAAATCTTGAACTATGCCTTCGCACTGAAGCCAAAATTCTCCAGGAGACATCATGACACAGCTCCGAGCCAAAACCAGTAAGTCCTCTAAAGTTTCCTGCCATTCTGGATGGCTTTCTGCATTTTTTTCCAGAGTTCCAACCAGATCTGCAGCAAAAATATGCAGATCTGAATCCACTTCTTCCTTTGCTTTGTCAAATTTTGTCCGTATCATAGTCAAAACCTCCTGTTGCAAGATTGAGATGATCATGAATATCCAAATTAGTAAGTGTATAATCTCGCTGCTTAAGAAAAGAAAACAAAAATTGGAATAAACCTGAATACCTCCAAATTATTTAAACCTCGAGGCTTCCAAAATGGGTAAGGTCGTACACCTTTCGAATTCAATTCATGAGAGAAACTTTTGATATCACCGGGAAACCTCTTCCTAGGAGCACTGGTAACTCGAAGTATAGCTTGAAAGCGGGGAGATTCAGACTCCTTCGGGTTTTCACATTCATATGATGTCTGAATGATTAATTAGGTTTCAGGTTCTTTAAATTTACAGTTTTCAGCAGAAAATATTTCTGAACATATATGCTTTGACAGCACCAAAGAGATACTCTACCTTCATTTCTGGAGTACATATATTCGAACTCCTAAGTTCTCCAGAATGACGCCATGATGAATCGAAACGCCCTGTGAGAAAAACATTAGCCAATTGAAAAGAATTAACACTCCATCCCATAATAGAAGGCTATCAAAAGCCGGTAAACCCAGTCTTTTCTTTTTCTTCTACAAGTGACCTCGAGGGGTCAGGCTTGCACCCCACAATTTTACATTAAGTTAAGTTAAGGCCTTCAATAATTCCCAGAATTCCTTTTCCTCTTCTCATATGCATAATCTGTGGTTGCTAATACTTAAAGCAAGCTTGAGTGTTTACCAGGTGCCCAGCAAAGAGGAAGGAAACAGAATAATTATGAACTAAACATACAGCTTTTAATTACATGTTACTATACATAAGAAGACTTCAGTTTGCAGGTTAAGTTTAAACAGAAACACAAGGGACTCTAATAACAGTGTCACCTAAAACATCTCTCTCCAAATCACACTCAGATACAAGATCACAACCTCCAAGCTTAGCACGAGTTTTACAACAACAACAAATTAATTAATTAAGCCACCTAAACTCAAGTTTAATAATATGAGAATTGTAAAATTTGAATACCTTGTCCTGGAGGATTCCTTTCCAATAGGCACCTCAAAATTAAAGAAATTGCACCAAGGCAAATGTAAAAGCATCAATATTTTAGGCATTCTTTAGATTTAATGTATCGAGGAATAAAGTAATACAGTTAATTTTTTTGTTGGATGATGACCAATATTTTTCCAGGAGCCAAGACTCGTCCATGGCCATGCCTAGTGGAACAAAGATTAGATGCTTGTGATAATACTTCGATGGGAAAAGTTCAAGCCAGTTTTAGATGGACATTCAAAACATAGTGGTCTAGGTTTCTCGTGGAGAAAAAATGACAGCTAATCGATGCAAAACAAGATCTCACTGTGACAGTGAATTAATCGCCTTGAAAAAGTCCGTTGCAAAATTCTGAGTATCAATGGTGCATGGTCTAACTTTAACCAACGACATTGCAATACATTACATCTGTTAAGTCTACTGCATTACGAATTATTCACCAGTTCTCACATAATGATTTATTACCTAACATATAATTAGTTAATAGATGTCCCGTTGTTACTGTTAAGGATCTCGTTATAAGTCTTGAATAACTCAAAACATGAGTTTTAGCATTTCAATTCCACAACTAAAGATGCATCGGCATATCAAGCAATAAACATTACTACTTATATGTAGGTTGTTTTTCCTTCAAAAATAAAAAAGACAATGCAGATGCATTCACATTTTCAAGAGTACTTGATCAGTAACCATAGAGAAACCTACTAGCAGCTCCAGAAGATGATTCCCCATTTTGGAGCCGGGACCTGGCCTGAGCCTTGACTACATTTGGGGTCCGGTCCCATGGCCGCCCGTTCTCATTTGACAGAGTATCCAAATTGCTCCCATTATCAGCATTCTCCACGAATGATTTCTCCTTCCTCCCGCCAGAAACCCCGTCACTACCACTACCACCACCGCCACCAACAACACCAGGGCCACGTGGCTTTGACAAGTTACTGGAACCTAAAGCAAACCCCTTTTCTCTACTATTAAAACTAAATAAACTCTCCTGCGGCAATGGCCCCGATCGTGTCTTTATCTTGTTCAACCCCAGCGACGATGCAACTATCGGCGACACAGACACAGGGGTGGGCCCCGGCCCCGCAGCCTCTTCTGGTTTTTTCAACTTGGAAGGAGCAAATGAAGACGAGATTCCAGAACTGTGCTTACTTACATTCTGTGCATCTTTCCCTTTAAAGTCCTTTTTGTTAATTTGATTTTTGCTGAAGCTGGTGGTTGGGGTGCTTGAGGATTTGTCTTTGGAAATGGATGGTGAAGATGACTTAGGCTTCTTCTTATCGGATCGGATCGGGGAATTGGAGTTAGACCCGAAAGATCGAGGACTGTTGGAGGATCCATCTGGGCTAGAAGTATCTGACTTTTTAGAAGAAAAAAATCTCCCCTTGAACACCATTTTTATTGCTCTTTACCCTTTTCCCTCTCCCCTTTACTGGGATCCAGAGCATTATTTTACAGACCAAGCATCAAAATAAAAATTGCTGCCACTGAATTCGTACTAGTAACAGTAGCATGAATAGATGGATTCAGATGGAAATGAAGAGTATTTTTTATGCTATTTCGTGAGTTTTTGTGCGCATTTTTGTGAGAAAATACGAAGGTGGCGGTGCGCGTTGAACGGTTTTGGACTTTGGACCAGATTGGATAGAAAATGAATTTAGAGAGAGGATGAGTTGAAACCAAGAAAGGGCTATAAATGTCGCACGACGTATTTAGGGCTGCGTTTGGGGAAATAATTGAAAGAACCCGATTGAGCCACCTTATTTTCTCATTAAAATGATGATGAGTTGAAACCAAGAAAGGTCTGTAACTGTCGCACGACGTATTTAGGGCTTCGTTTGGGGAAATAATTGAAAGAACCCGTTTGAGCCACCTTATTTTCTCATTAAAATGAAAAATATGACCGTTATCCATCATATCAATATTTAGTACATGCTTGGTAAGGATTATTTTCAGATTTTAAGTATTAATTTTACCGTTAAAGTCCACTGGTGGTGGTGGGCCCCCTTCTCTCACAAGCAGTCAAAAAAGGTTGTTGAAATGATATGTAACGACCACAAAAATGATTTTAATTGGGTGAAAAAGTTTCTCCAGACATGCTCTTAAATTCAAATTTTCTATCTCTTGTGTGGGCCACAATAACGACCATATTTTTCATTCTCATTCTACAATAATGAGAATCAAACGGGCCCATAGTTGAATTAAATGAAAATTCAACTTTTGATCAATTAAAGATATGCATACAAAGTATTTGGAAATTGTAAATATGAATA